AGAATTTCTGCTGGATGATTCTTTGTTGTGGGGGACTGTAGGATATTTAACAGCATCCATTGTCTCTATCCTCTAAATACCGGTAGCTTCTCCCCAATTATAGCAACAAAAATTTCTTCAGACATTGCCAGAAGTCCCCTGAAAAGCAAAATAGCCCCTAGTTGAGAACCACTACTGTACAGGTAAAAGTTGAAGCCATGGTAGTGGATGAGTTCTCCTTGGAGAAGTGTTTAGAATAAGAAGAGGATAATAGTGAATCCTAACATGTGAAGGACTAGCAAAAGAAAAGGAACCACCAGAAAATACTGCCCTGCTCCTAACCTGAGATAGATCTGATGGATTTAGTTAGAAATTTTTAAACGTCTACAACCTTTTAGTGAACTAGCTGAGCAAGAGATTTGTAGAACCACTTACCTGGGCCTTCTCAAAGATGGGAAAGTCCCCCACCATCAGGATGATTCAATGCATCCCTGTCTAAAGATGAAGAATTGAGATGGACAACCTCTGAGAATTTGCCTCAGCCCCTGAGGTTCTGTGAAATAGTCCTCCTTGTTGTAAACAGGGGCCAGATACTAGAAAGCCATAGAGATTCTTGATTTTTTTAACTGAAGGTCAGATCTGTGACCTCCGTGGGCCATATGGAGTTGTGGCAGATGCAACATTCCTTTCTAAATCCTGTTTCCTCATGGATATTACTCCCCAGTAAACCTTTTGCCCTCCTAACTTTGTTTCAGCATCTGCTTCTCAGAGAATCCAAACTAACACAGGAGTATAGTTTATTTCTTCTTTCCACAAGGTGGAAAATATATAGCATGTATATTATCCTCAGTTCCCACATTAGTTTTGGTCCATAATCCTGTTTGTGTACATGAACACATGCTAAAGAGAATGCATACAGGCTACAGCATTTGAATTTAAGAACTGTAGCGAAGTATGCTTTCAAAAGAGAAACTGTAGCCCTTCATTTCCATATTTTACTACTTACCATATTATTTTTTTCTCACCTGAAGGGTGTTTAACCTCACTTCTGTTTGATTCTCCTCATGAGATGACTAAACTCACTGCTGACATTCAAGGAAGACTGTGCTCACAGTGGCTGAACCAGACCCTGTGGTCCCTCGAGGGTCTCCATGCCTATTCACTTGAGTAGGGGTAATTCATCCGTGGTGCCACAGACACGATTGCCTGTGCTTGCTATACTTATATAAGACCCTGTACACCGTGGACAGGGTGGACTCATGAAGCTCGTCTGTGGTCAAAGCTGAAAACTGGCTAAGGCCACAGCAGGGCAATGTACTCTGCTAGGTTTTGCATAGCCAAAAGAGTCTTTCAACAGGTTACCTTTAAATCCTTGAAATACCTGGGAGTCTTGTGGTTACTAATCTTATAGTTAAATACCAACAAATATATGAATCAAACGCACTGCCTCTGGTAAACTGTCTGCCTTGGGTTTCATTGGCATTTGTTTAAATTGTGTTTCAAATGGTGGGCAAGACAATTCTTATGATGTTCAGATGGCCCCATGTTCACACTCTGTATAATCACCTCCCTTTGAGTGCAGGCAGAACTGGTGACTTGCTTCTAACCCACAGAATATTGCAAAGATAATGAGCTCTCTTTCCTGTGATTACTTTCCAATTTATATAGAAGCCTCTGAGCAGACTAGCTCTTCACTCTCCTTTCTTTTGCTTGAAAAAGAAAGCTGCCATGAGTTCTGCAGTCACAAGGAAATAACTGCTTCCAACAACCTAAGGGAACCTGGAAGGATGTCCTTCCGCAGTCAAGCCTCTAATGACAACACAGCCTGGCTGACACCTTGATTGTAGCCTTGTGAGACCCTGAGCGGAGGACTCAGATGAGTAGTGACCAGACTCCTGACTTATGGAAGCTGTAAGATAATAAATGCATATTGTTTTAAATTTCTAAATCTGTGGTGGTTTGTTCCACAGCAATAGAAAACTAATACAAACTTTATTTTAAATTATTCTTGCTTTTTTTTCTTTCTTACTTCTGTCAGTGCTTATTGGAGGTTGTAAATATCAATTTTTCTTTGTTTTAGAGTAAGCATTTAACATTCTTATGGAAGGGAATAATATTTTAATACTTTTTTTCCCTCAAACTAGTAACAAAGACTGCAAAATATTCAAACCCTTTCTATCATGAAACTCTGTGTTTTAGTCAAGTCCAGAAGCTGATTAATCAGAATAAAGTTGACCTTATTCATATTTCACATTGACATTCAGTTTGGCCTCAATCTCTTAAATGTTTCATTTGCATTCTATGATGAAATACAAAACAAAAAAGAACGCGACCCCTCAAAAATCTAAACAATATAAAACAAGCTTTGCCTAAAGGCTGATTTTAGTTCAAGCCATCAAACATTTGGGTAGTCTATTTTCACTGAATTGCCTATTAAATTATATTTCTTAAAGGAAGAGAGGACAATTTAAATGCTTCAAACATTTAAAATGACTATACTAGTGATTATTATGTAAGTAGCTGAGTTTGGTATTTTAGTGATACAGAGAAGAAAATTAACTATGGAGAGAGATGTTTTTGTGCTAGCTTCATGGTTTATATCCCTCGGGGAAGGCTAGTATAAGTTATTTGATACACAAAATCATTTTCTAGAGTGACATTTTGGTATATTTATTTTATTATTCCGGATAATGTATAATAAACACATTTCAGTATTTCTTTACCTAATGTAAAGCCCTTTTTGTCATTTTAAAGGAAAATTATTATCGAAATTTCATTTGAAAGAGTGAGTATGATCTTCCAGCAAGTAACAGAAAGGGACATGATGGATGATGTAGGTCAAATTAAAGAGGTTTGATATGAATTATAAATGGTTTGCAGCATCTTCATAAGTCTATAAGAGTGAATATCTTACCTCCTTGGTCTGCCTTTTTTCTTTCTTTTTTTCTAAAATAGAAAGTAGATGGTTTACTACATTCACTTAGAGAAAGTATCTCAACATGCCTGTAATTGTAAAATTCCTGGGGAGTGAGTTAGTGTATGTGAGTTAACATCGTCTTTTTATAGCTCTTGAGATGTATTGTTCCTTATAAAGGAAGCATATATACTTTAGAAAGCACTTTTTAAATGAAAGAAAATTGCAAAGAAAATATTCTGTCAAAGAATGGCTTAGAATACAAACTATCTTAGAAAAACTCTACGGTGGTACAGTGGGGCAAGCTGTGAAGAGGAGGAAATGCTGAGAGGTTTGAAGATTTTGGAGAGAATTCAGAAGAGAGAAGATATTAAAGCAAGAGAAGATAGTGCATATGACTTTTTAAAAACAATTTTTTATTGGAGTATAGTTGATATACAATGTTGTGTTAGTTTCAGGTGTACAGCAAAGTAAATCAGTTATACATATACATATATCCCCTCTTTTGTAGATTCTTTTCCCAGGTAGGCTTTTTTAAAGCTAAAAGAATAAGGATCCCTCCCCTCTCCGAGAAGAAATGAACACATTGTTTCTTGCATGTAGGTCAATCAACTGTATTATCCCTTTCATATGGTCTAGGAATTCCTTCAAAGACCATTTTGGATTTAAAGATACTTTAATAAACACATGTCATAATTTGTGGCCATCCAGAACATTTGAACATCTAAATTTGGGGAATGGCCCACCTTATGAGTCTGGTTTTCCAAACCTAGAATCCAGAAACTCACTCGTCCAGCCTTCCTGGAAGCTAGGGCATAAACACTTCAGCCAATGAATAGACTCAGCCAATGAAGTGCACTTAATGAGATTTCAGTTTAAAAGAGACAAACATGAGGAAGCAGACACGGTGGAGACCATTCTCTGAAGGTGATGGCAGAGGCAATGGCTTTCAGGGACAACGATGACAGCAGTTCAGCTTCCATTGCCCGGGATCAATGGGGCAATCTGTGGTGTCTGCGCCCAGTGACAGCAATGATGGATCCTTTTCTGGATCCCCATCCTGAAATGCCATTTGAGTGTTGTTCCTGCCCACATATCTTCAAGCCTGGGTCTCTAATCCTCTCCGGGGGTCTATTGAGCCTTCTCAAATCTGTTAGATATGTTTTCTGCTGAACCAGCTATGGTGAGTTCTAATGTTTGTAACCAAGACATCTGAACAGAACAACTCTGAAACCCTGTGTACAAGGGGGCTCATCCACAGAGAGCTTTTCTAAAATGGTTGCAATTTTACTGAATCCAGAGTCAGAAGAAATAGCACCCTAAAGAAGTTCTATGCAACTCAGTAATATACTAAAAAATTGGGAAATTGAAACACCTATAAATGAGCACACTAGGACAAGATAACTAGAATGCTAAATTTTGTTTTATTAGATGGAGGAAAATCTATTTTAAAAAATAATCACATATAATCCAGTGGGAGTAAGAAATGATGGAGGTATAAATAAAACTAAAATCATAGAATGTTGATAATTGCTGAATCAGGGTGGTGGGTATTCTGTTTATGTGCTTAAGATTTTTCTTAATTAAAAATGTAAAAATAAAAAAATTATAAACTAGTGAGTTAACATTAGTTGGAAAAATACATGCCTCCCTATTTATCTTTAAAATAAAGAAGAGAAGCAAGACTAAATATTGTTTAGAAATTTGTATATCAGTGTTTGCCAAGCAATAGAACTAAGTGAGAAAATTTCATAAAAATAAGAGATAAGGACAGACTTATAGTGGATGTGTCTGCTTTTTAGGCCATTTTTGTCCTTGATTTCCCAGGAATAGCTCATTCAGTCAATCCACAAATATGTTTATTAGCATCTGCTACATGTTGGCATTGTTTTAGGTACTTGGGATATATCAAGAAATAAAATAAAGATCCTTACCCTTACCTAAACATTTTCCATTATGTATTACACAAAATCTCAATCAAAGCTTTTTATACGTATCTCCAGCCTATAAGCCTAATTACTTAATTTTTAAATTCTAAAACTGTCTCCTATTTCTACAGTTTAGAACCATAAGGTTTTTATAGTTGAAAAGGAGCTTAGATTGCATAAAGTGCTACTGCTCATTTTATTATAATTGATATAAAACTATGTAGAGTCTTTTATAAGTTACAACATGCCTTCCTGAGACCCAGAGAAGGCAAGGTACTTGCCAAGTCTATACTGCCTGTTGGTAGCAGGACAAAGACCTCCCAATAGGCATGTTGGTACTTTTTCTGCTATATCAAAATTTGCCTGCTTAAATTGCAATGGCTGTGGTTGACTGAAGAGATTTTAACCTAAAAATCCTACTATTTATACATCCTAAGCCTGTCTCTTCGTCTTGACTCCACTGCTCTCTGTCCCCCTTCTTCCTCCTCCCTCATAGGCTCTATCCCAAAGCTGCAAGTGACTAAGATACACCTTTCTCTTTGGCACTGACATCCTCATATGCTGCCATTCCTTAACCATTGTTCAGCTAGGCTCCCCTAATTTAGAACCTTTAATCTTCTTTGATAACATCATCTCTTCATTACTCGAAATAACCTGTCTGGACATTTTTGTCCATTTCCAGTTATTTACACATTTTAGATGTCTAGGTACTCAATAATGAACAAAGAAAGGGGCCCCAAGGGCTGACAATTCTACTGTTGCATTGAATGACTTCCAGGTTCTCTCCTACTTCATAGCTCCATAGAGTATGTCCCCAACTGATGCAGCCCCTAAGGCCATTCTGTTTCTGTCTTCACTTGCATGTTCATCACATCACTAGTGTCTAAGTTCCCTTAGAAAATATTGGAGGTTCAGGCCTTATCAAAAGTGCTTCCAACAACCTATATAACTGAATCACATTGCTGTACACCTGAAACTAACAAAACATTCTAAATTAGCTATACTTCAATTTTAAAAACTTTAAAAAATCTGAAAAGTGAAAAAGAAAAAATAAAATAGAGATTATGAGATTTGCTCATAGACACTATCTGAGGTGAGAAAAAAAGAAGGGAGTCAGGTTAGTGCAATTGCATTTCATGTTCAACTTTCTCTCTCTCTCTCTCTCTCAATCTCTCTCTCTCTCTCTCAATCTCTCTCTCTCAATCTGAAGTGTTTGGGTTATATCTATTGCTGTGTAACAAACTACACTAAAATATAGTAGTTTAAAAAAATTATTATTATCTCTCATGGTCCTATAGGTTGACTGAGCTCAGTTAGGTGATGTTGCATTCTCTCGGGTGGTTACAGTCAGATGGATGGAGTCTTCAGAAGCCTCACCTCAGCTGGATGTCCAAGATGGCTTCCTTAGTCACATGTCTGGCTTATCAGCTGAGATGCCTGAAACAGCTAGGGGCTTATCAGGCATTTCTCTCTCCACACAGCCTCTTCAGGTGGCAGCTTGAGCTTCCTCAAAGCAAAGTGATCTCAGGGTAGTCAGGCTTCTTACGTGACAGCTGTCTTCTCCCAGAGTGAGTGTTCCAGGAGACCCAAGTGGAAGCTGCAAGGCTTTCTTTGGCTTTAAAAGGAAGGGACCACACAAAGGTGTGAATACCAGGAGGTGCAGTTCATTTCAGGGGGACATCTTTGGTAACTAGTTACCACATGAAGGGAAGTGACATCTGCAGGTAAAAGTCAATTTTGCTGTTAGTCCTCCTGGCTCGCAGGACTCTATTTTTTTAAACAAATAGAATTGCCTAAAATACAGCCCTCATTTTTTGGTTAAGCAGCAGACTCAGAGTTCCTCTTAATTAAACAAAAGAGAAAAAAAACTTTGAACTTAGATGACATATCTTTCTAAACTATAACCTCCTATTTTTGGAGCATGTGATAATAGCTCAGACTTTGTTCTATCGATGGCTGAAGGCTGACTTGCCACCATCCTAGAGCTGACAAGCCAAAACAGGTGAGTCTATCTTGCATGATTCACCTTGGCAGGAGCAATTACTACCCAGTTCTGGGCTGGCAGACTACCTGCTCCCTTTCATACACACAGGTTCACCCACAGCCTGAAGCATACCTTGTATCCTTTCAGAAATGGCGCATCGAACACGTGCAGAGAGACATCCAAACGCTTTTCTTTCCAATAAGAGAGACATTTTGTGAAGTCTTTGGCAGCATGCTGGCTGGCAAAGTCATCTGGCTGGCATACTTCTCCTGCGTCAAGTTATGGCACTGCCACCTCTACTCTGGAGAGTTTCGAAATTTCAATTTGCACACCCTGTAAGATGTGAGTCATTGAGCTTGCAAAGGAGGAGGGGGAGGCGGACATCTGCTAGTCATGAGCAGATGACAAACACCCTGCACTGCGAATTTCCATCCTCATTTCACAATATTTAAGTAAACACATTTTGTAACCATTTTTTTCAGAGTTCCTTAGTGCTTAAAATGGAATTTTTTTTGGTAAACAATATATAAAAGCCACCTTCTCTCCTCTAAACAATTATATTACCAAAGTGACATCGAAGCCAACCACTGCAGAGTGCTGTCTGTTGAATGACCAGAGCAAAAAGAATACACATCTGAATCGAATAGTTAAGTCTTCTATCATTTCAGACCCACTCAGCTAAGTTTCCTAGTCTGTGAGCTCCATCACGCACAGCTCCATGGTGACCTCTACTGTCTGACTGCAAGAATCCCATCGCAAATAGTTTCCAGATAACATCTATCTCCCATTTCTGTATACTATGTTATGGGGAGGAAGGAAATTGAAGAAGGAAACGATAGATGCTCTTCCCTTAAATTATAAGAGACAGATTACATCCGTAAAATAACTGGGAACTGATGCAAGATCTAATTTTGTATTAGCTTCAAGCTGTGCAACATGGCTCAAAGTGGGACTTCATTTCTTCCCCACTTTTATCTGAAGAAGCTAACAATACCAGGAAAAAAATAGTAAAATGGAAATAGAAAATTCAGATTAGGGTGAAAAGTGAGTGCAAATGTGCTAAACATAAAGGTCAATGTCTAAAGGAGTCTCACATTTGGCTCTGAGAATCCTAAAAGCTAAAAGAAAAAAAAAAGTAAGATGGATTGCCTAGACCTTACTATCATGATGAAGAAAGGCTATCATGTCTCAAGTGGAATCATTTTTCTTGGTGTTAAATTCTGAATGAAATTCCCATGGGGGTTTTCTGGCATATCCCAGGTGGGGCAAGGGCTGGCATGCTCCTTAGAATTTGTACTGCTGCTGCAGGAGCAGATTTAGTAGGGTTGTTTCTTTTAGCTTTTGTGAGAAAGAAAGGGTGTGTCATTGAGAAAATGAAATACATCCTGCTGACAAGCAGAGAAAGTGAGAAACGGACCTGCTGGCAGCCAGGTCTCAACTCGTATAAACAGTGCTGGGACAAGGCCACCCCATGATCATATTTGGAACAAGATAAAGATAAAACCACTTGGTAATCACAAAAAATGACTAAACATCCTCCTTCTCTGACTAACATGAGTGACTGCTGTTCCTTTACCAGTGACAATTCCAGCCTTGCTTATCCTATATGAAAACAATACTTTCAGGGATCATTTCTGTAGTTTGTTTGTCCTGTATGAAAACTATTAAGATGCCAAAACATTGGATTGCTCCTGCTCTTGAAATTGTCCAATCTAGAATGTCCCCTTCTTCCCTAATTTCTCTTGGAAATCACTTGGAGTAAACCCAAATTCAGTCAGAGGTCCCTGGCCGCTCCCCCTTTCCAAGACATTCCACGATTCCTCTGGTACATGTTTTGTTTTGTTTTTTTTTTCCTGCAATGAGCTCAACAATGACTAGTGTGTTCCTGGAGCTCTTTGGTTGGTGGGTTTTACAAGCATTGACCTACTACACAGTGAAGGTGGTTCTATGAGGGCCTAAGCTAATATAACCAAGTCAGTATTTCTGTTCTCTGCCCTGTATGAGGACAGAGTACGAAGTACCTAATGGAGGAGAGGAATGGTGGTTCCCTTACACAACCTCCTCTAAATGTTCCTTTGCTTGTTGTGGCTTTCAGTATTAGATCACTTGCAGATAGTTGGACATCATACTCTCTCTCTAGACGTCTGGGAGAATGAGCTGGTATTCCATTCCTGGTTGAGAGCAGATCCTTATACTTTGGGTAATCTCTGATGAATCCCTGACCAATGAGGATATTTTCCCATTGTAGCAGATACTCTCACTTTTCTGCCCAAGAGCCCTCTTATTCCTTCTACTTTTCCTATGAACGCCTCTCCCAGCTTCAGTGTCCTTTGGCTTCTAACAGCCCATACCAAACCTTAAGCCACCCTTCAGACACAGAGAACTGGAAACGCCTGGGAGTTTACATTCACTGCCATCCTCTACCCCAAGGCCCTTGGCCAATGACTGGCTGGAACAGGAAAGCCCAACTCCCTTCAAGTTGCGTCAACTCTTTGGTATAATTTACTCTCCAGAACTCCCTGCAGTCAGAATGACACTGGGCTTTGCCTTGCTTAGTTTCTTTCCCATCCCTCTCTTGCTTCACCACTGCCTTACTGGTCTCCCTGGGGGCACTGCCTTAATAAATTACATGCATCGAATCCTCATCTCAGGCTCTGTTTCTGCAGAATTCAACCTATGACACTCATCTAGCCCTCACTATATCCCTCTAAAGTAGAAATTATAACATAATTCTTCAGATGAAGAAAGAAAGCCTTGAGACTAGCCCAAGGTTACACAGGCAGTTAAAAGCGGACTAGACCTAAAATTCTCATCTCTATGACCTACATGGTTAGGTCTTTCTGTTACTAAGCCTAGTTGCTTCTCCTTTGGGGCCCTGTACCTGGCTTTACATCCTGTTTATGGACATGCAGAGGGAAGGTTCTGTTGCCTGGGGTAGGAAGCAAGGACTCAAATGTCCTCTGCCGAGGATCTGATGTGTAATTGAATATGTATGCTACCATCTGGGGCATGGTTTTCCTGTCCACTGTATGTGGACAGTCCTCCTCCATGACCTCTGAACAGATCACCTCCTGCTGCTTATGGTTGGTAATCCTCCCTCCCCTACAATTCTCCATTCCTCCCAGCTTTTATGAGACAAACATTACAGTTACAGCCTCAGGAGAATGCACGATTTCTGTCCACTCCATCACACAGAAAGGTCACTACTGAGTCCTGGGTGTACCTTCCCACCTGTCACCCAGAAAAATGAGAGTCATCCTTAAGAATACCCCCATGCAGTGACTTTCATCGTGAGGATATCTTTTCAAATCAGGGTTTACATGTGCAAGGAATACTCCTTACTACTCCCAAACTACTCACTGCGGAGGTGGCTCTTCATCCTAGACTTCCTCTCACAGAAAGTACTGAAAGGAAGGGGTGAGGGATCGTAGCATCTGCGTCCCACATGCCATTGCCAAAATCACCCAGGAGGGCCAGTTGTTGAAGGAAGGTGGGAGGGAGAAAAGTTCACAGAATCTCAGGGCTAGAGGGAACTCTAAACCACAACTAAGTCTTATTCAGGTATCCCCTCAGCGGCAGACCAGCCATGGGGCTGCGTGGCTGTGACCAAACATTTTTCATTGCCAGTGAGTTTCACCAGGAAATTTTCCTCCCCCTGTGCTAAGAAGTCCCCCTCGCTGACTGCTGGGTCAAGTCTAAGGAAGCAGGAAGGTAAGAGAACAGAGTGTGTATGTGTGTGTGTGTTCACACATACCAGGACAGGATGGGTTGGAAAACATAAATGAGGGTGTGATGCATTTCCACTTTCCTGAGCCTTAATCTTAACCACCACACTTCACCACCTCTCCAGGATTTTCATCAAAAGAGCTTATGTGTCTGTTTACATAAAGATTCTGGGTTGGTCTTATTGTTGGGGGTGGGGGGGCAGAAGAGTGAGCATTCTGGGTAGTGTAATTTGAGAGCCGTCATGGTCTGCACACCAGTGCCTGAAATCTCATCATTAGGTTCAATCTTTCAGGTGAAGGTTTTGCTTCCAGAAAGCTCTGATTAATATGAAGGGGGCAACATACAAACCTACAATCACTGACACCTCAGAGCCTTATGAGAATTTGTTTACCAGGTCAGCAAACAACACAAAGCCAGATCTAGAGAAACAGCAGTTATTCGAGTTTGGGGGTAGAAGGAGATTTGTACTGGGGGGAAGGTCCTTGTCAGAAAGTGTGGGAGGAGAGCATGAGAGGTCAAGGTCTAGATGGAGGGGCAGAAGGCAACAACATTAGACTTGGTGACAAGTCTACATGGTGACATCCTTATAGCACCTCCTCTCCAGGCAGCAACTGCATAGCTGTGGAAAGTTTAAGAAAACGTCCCATGGCCAAAAATATAAAACCTGACTTGTAATCATGTGCAAGGGAACACCAGCTGCCCTCCTAGAAACTACAGGAACACCCACCCCCCCACACCTACTTAAGCCTCTTTTCCCCCACATCCAGGAGTTCTTGGCTGGATCTCAAGGCCTGAGCCCCAGGCAGAGCTTTCCATGCAGCACAAGGCCAAGCCCAGCCTATCCAGTCACTCTCCAACCAGCCCTATCCAGACTCATCAGACGTCAAGCCTCTTCTCTTTAGCTGTAAAAGTAAAAGGCCACCCTCTGTGTTTAACCTAAATTCATTGCATAAAACATTAGATCTGAGGTCCATATTTTAGGCTCAGCCTTGACAGACAATGTTCATGGATACAGCGGTCTTTAGTCCTATCTGTTGCCTTTTTCATGCTCTCTGAAAATTGGAAATAGGAGATGATCTGGCTTTCAGTCCTGGAAGCAAGCTTTAGTGAGCCCCCAAAGCATTAAATGTGAGTTGGAGAGGTAAAGGGAGAAGGAAGAAGCAGTCTGCAGAAGGTTACTTCATCACTCTAAGAATCATGCAGAGAAAATGAGTCTCTGCTAATGTAGATAGAAAGAAATTCAAGAGCTTGGGTTAGATAACACAGGATTAGGGAGCCCAAGGGAAAGGGAGTGTGTGTGTGTATGTGAGTGTGTGTGCATGCGTGTGTGCTTGTGCATGTGCAGACATGGTTCAAACAGTATTACAATGTTAGTCAAAAATCTATCATCACTGGTCATATCTATGTAGACTTGACCTGGTCATTTCATCTCTCTGGCCTCATTTTCCATATTCTTAACAAGGAGATTATACCTGCCCCATCAACCTCAAAATTAAATGGAATAACTCACTTGAAGGCTTGAAACATATTTATGTTTCCATAAATGAATGTAAGGCAGTATTACCAGGAAGTCCCTGAAAATAAGTGGCTAATTGGCAAAATGAAAAGAAACTCCAAAAGATTAAAAGCGATTTAATTCAATGGCAACAGGTAGTAAAGTGAACAACAATATTTGCTGAGCACTTACTTTGTACCAGGCATTTTGCTAAGTGTTGTACAAACATTACCTTATTTAATAATCACAAC